AAAGAAAGAAACAGAAGGAAAGTTTCCAGACTCATTCTATGAAGCCAGCATTACCTTGATCACAAACCAGACAAAGACCCCACTAAAAAGGAGAATTACAGGCCAATATCCCTGAGGAACGTGGATTCAAAAATTCTCAACAAGATACTGGCAAGTCAGATTCAATAGTATATTAAAAGGATTCTTCAGCATGATCAAGTGGGATTCATTCCTGGGCTGCAAGACTGGTTCAACATTTGCAAATCAACCAACATGATACATCACATTAATAGAAGAAAGGATAAGAACCATAGGATCCTGTCCGTAGATGCAGGAAAAGTATGTGACAAAATACATCATCCATTCTTGACAGAAACTCTACAAAGTAGGGATTGAGGGAACATACCTTAACATCATCAAAGCCCATATATGAAAGGCCCACAGCCAATATCATCCTCAATGGGGAAAAACTGAGAGCTTTCCCCTGAGATCAGGAACATTACAGGGTTGTTCTCTTTCATCACTGTTGTTGGAAGTCCTAGCCCCAGCAACCAGACAACAAAACAAAATAAAAGGCACCGAAATTGAGAAAGAAGTCAAACTTTCACTCTTCACAGATGACAGGATAGTCTACCCGGAAGCCCAGAAAGACTTCACCAAAAACTGCTGGAATTGATACATGAATTCAGCATTTGCAGGATATATAATCAACATACAGAAATCAGTTGCATTTCTAATCATCAATAATGAAGCTATAAAAAGAGATATCAAGGAGTCAATCCCATTTACACTTGCACCAAGAACCACAAAATACCTAGGAATAAACCTAACCAAAGAGGTAAAAGATCTGTACGCTGAAAACTATAGAAAGCTTACGAAAGAAATTGAAGATGACACAAAGAAATGGAAAAATATTCCATGCTCATGGTTTGGAAGAACAAATATTGTTAAAATGTCGATACTTCCCAAAGAATCTACAGGTTCAATGCAATCCCAATGAAAATAGCACCAATATTCTTCACAGCTAGAACAACAATCCTAAAACTTTTATTGAACCACAAAAGACCCCAAATAGCCAAAGTAATGTTGAAAAGAAAACCAACACTGGAGTCATCACAATCCTGGACTTCAGTCTGTATTACTAAGCTGTAATCATCAAGACAGTACAGTATTGGCACAAAAACAGACACATAGACCAATGGGATAGAATAGAGAACCCAGAAATGGACCCACAAATATATGGCCAACTAATCTTTGACAAAGCAGGAGAGAGTGTCCAGTAGAAAAAAAAATACAGTCTCTTAGCTGGGAGAACTAGACAGCAGCATGCAGAAGAAAGAAACTGGACCAATTCTTACACCAAACACAAAAATAAACTGAAAATGGACGAAAGACCTAAATGCAAGACAGGAAACCATCAAGATTCTGTAGGAAAAAACAGGCAGCAACCTCTTTGTCCTAGCCCGCAGCAACTTCTTACTTGACATATCTCTGAAGGCAAGGGAAATAAAAGCAAAAGCAAACTATCTGGGATCTCATCAAGATAAAAAGCTGCTGCACAGCAAAGGAAATAATCAACCAAACTAACAGGTAACCGATGGAATGGGAGAAGATGTTCGCAAATAATATAATGGATAAAAGGGTAGTATTCAAAATCTATAAAGAACTTACCAAATTCAACACCCAAAAAAACAAGTAATCCAGTGAAGAAATGGGCAGAAGACATGAATAGACACTTTTCCAAAGAAAACATCCAGATGGCAACCAGACACATGAAAAGATGCTCAACATTGCTCATCATCAGGGAAATACAAATCAAAACCACATTGAGATACCACCTCACACCTGTCAGAGTGGCTACCATAAACAACTCAGGAAACAACAGATGTTGGCAAAGATGTGGAGAAAGGGGAACCCTCTTGCACTGTTGGTGGGAATGCAAACTGGTGCAGCCACTCTGGAAAACAGTATGGAGTTCCCTCAAAAAATTAAAATTAGAATTACCCTATGACCCAGCAATGGCACTAATAGGAATTTATCCAAATGACACAGGAGTGCTGATTCACAGGGACAGATACACCCCAATGCTTATGGCAGCACTATCAACAATAGCCAAAGCATGGAAAGAGCCCAAATGTCCATCGACTGATGTGTGGATAAAGAAGATGTGCTATATATTCACTATGGAATACTCCTCGGTGATTAAAAAGAATGAAATCTTGCCATTTGCAACAACATGGATGGATCTAGAGTGTATTATGCTAAGGGAAATGTGTCAGAGAAAGACAGATATCATATGATTTCACCCCTATGTGGAATTTGAGAAACTTACCAGAAGACCACAGGGGAAGGGAAGGAATATTAAGATACAAACAGAGAGAGAGACAAACTGTAAGAGACTCTTAAATACAGAGAATAGACTGGGGGTTGATGGGAGTGGAGAGGTTGAGGGAAATGAGTGATAGGAATTGAGGAGGGCACTTGTTGGGATGAGCACTGGGGGTTGTATGTAAGTGATGAATCACAGAAATCCATTACTGCAGCCAAGGCTACACTGATTTGACACATATCTATATAAAAAAAGATTTAAAAAAATTACACAAGGCTAGGGGAGAAAACACCCTAACATGGGTAAGCTATATCCCAGTAGATTGCATACTTTTGTGTAATTTTCCTCCTTAAGAAAGCAAGTCCGTAGGTTGCTGGAGCAGAAGACAGCAAGCCTAGGTTAGAATAATTTGCACAGACTGAAGATATGGCCCTTTGCTCATGTGTGTTGGGAATATTTGTGTCTTTTTTTGGGGTGATGGTGGTGGAAGGAGTGATAGTCTTCCAGCCAGAAGAATTTAGAAATATGTGTCCCCGTTGGCAATGTCTGTTTTAAGAAGTGACTGTATATTTCTTTTTTTTCTTAACTTTTTAAATGTTTGTTTATTTTTGAGAGAGAGAGAAACAGTGCATGACCAGGGGAGGGGCAGAGAGAGACAGGGAGACACCGAATCCGAAGTAGGCCCTAAGCTACCAGCACAGAGTCCAATGCAGGGCTCAAACTCACAAACTGGAAGATCAAGAAGTGAGCCAAAGTTGGACACTTAACCAACTAAGCCACCAGGCACCCTGAGGTGACTCCATATTTCTAAACCAAAATATAAAAATAAAAAAAATAAAAAATAAAAGTGTACACTAAAGTATGTGTTATTGAATAAGGAGTCCATACCTGCTTCATACAGGCTACATAAAAATTGATTTGGGGGAAATTTTCCCTTGGCTTAAATTCTGCTATGATCTAGTAGAAGAAAGAAGTTTAAAAATTGACTATAATGGGGGGGGGCGCCTTGGTGGTTCAGTTGGTTAAGCATCTGACTTCGGCTCAGGTAATGATCTCATGGTTCGCGAGTTCAAGCCCCATGTTGGCCTCTGTGCTGACAGCCCAGAGCCTGGAGCTGCTTGTCTCCCTTTCTCTTGTTCCTCCTGCATTGGCACTCTGTCTCCCTGTCTCTCAAAAATAAACATTAAAAAAATTCTTAATTGACTATACAGGAATAAAAAGGAAGTCCACAGTGGAGGGACCCAGCAGACGGCGCCTTAATCATGTGATCAGGATTCACGGCACCAACAACGGACGAATCAATGTCTTTAGGCTCCTGATATGATGCACTGAGAATTCAAATGTCTCTTCTGTGACAGTTCTGCCCCCAAATGCAAAGCCTGGAGGTCACTATGAGGACGCATGGAGCCAGCCCAGACCGCGGGACAGCCCCCCAACAGCTGGCCGTGAAAGTCACTAAAAGACGGATGCACTGCCAGGGGTTGAGCAGATCCAAGGACACTAAGGAGACCCCACCAGTAAATACGACGTCTGCTCCTGGACCAGAACCTTTTCCTATAAAGCACCCAAACCAAACCAGACCACCCAAGCCAAAGGGAAACCACTGGCAAACCTGAGTGGGGTTGGAGGGTTTGGAGGTGGTAACGAGTCACCATTAATATCCTAACTCTGATGACTGTGCTGTGGTTTTGTGGGAGAGTATCTTTGCTTCTAGAAATTCCACATGGAGCTAATTGGGTTTAATGCCCATTTCTCCCTTTTCTGTTTGAGACTCTTTAAAGACCAAAACAACAACAACAACAAAAATCCCAACCCAAAAGAGATGAGTATGTTTGCTTGGATCGGGCAGCCTGCTGCTGTGATGTTTCCGCATCTTCCTTAGTTTTTAAACAAAGGGGTTCTGTGTTGTGACTTTTCATCCTGTGGTTGATAAGGAAATTTCCCTCGGTTTCACGAGCCGCTCGCACTGGCCTTTGTTCTTGGAGCCCAATTTGGACGACACCGTTTCTGGTCCCCCACGGAAACGATGTGCAAGAGAAGTGTTCAAACGGCCAGTGAGAAGGGTCAGCAGAGCAGCCGCCGCTCTGCACACAGTGGTTAAAAGAGCAATCGGGACCAGTTGGCCGAGCGGGGGACCTCCCAGGGTGACCCTCATGCAAAGTGCCGTGATGCCCCCGGCACGGTGGGCTCCCTGTGGGTTTTCTTTGGTAAAGGAGAGCTAAAAATCCATCTCAGACAGAAGCATCCTCCCCCTTCAGACAGGGCCCCCTCTCCCCTCAGACAGCTTCTGCTTCCTCCACAGAGGGGTGCACACTCCCTTCTCTGGCCCTCCTCCCCCCTCAGACAGAGGCATCCGACCCCCAAACAGGCCCCTTCCCCTCAGATAGGTCCTGTCCCTTCCCACTATGCCCTTTTCCGTCAGACCAGGCCTCCCCTCCTTAACAGAGCCTCTCCATTCTAGCTGGGCCTCCTCCCTCAGACCATGACCTTCTCTATCAGACCAGGTCTCCCTCCTCCCACTGAGCCTCCCAAGTCTGGGCTAGCCTATTCCCCCCAATTGGGCGTCTACACTCAGATCAGTCCATCTCTCAGGCCAGTTCTCCCCACTTTGGCTGGCCTCCCCCCTCAGACCAGGCCCTGCCCCCTCTGACCAAGCCCCCCCCTCAGGCCGGCCCACAGGCAGGGCACTCACTCCGGGCCAGCCCCAGGTGGGCGCTGCGGCTGTGGTTGAGCCTCAGCTGGGTGATGTAGTTGCAACAGTCCAGGAAGGCCTTCACGCACGAGGCCCCGAGCTGGATGTACCGGGCCCTGCGCTCGCAGGGGAACTTCATGGGGTTCTCCCGCATGCCGTGTTCACAGCACTTGCGCACCTCCTTCGGGTACTGACCCGCTGTGGGGACACGACAGCCGTCAGGCCCTCAGCCGCGGCTTCGAAGCAGGTGGGACATCCCCACAGCCCAGCCCTGCCCTCCTCCCTCCAGGGCTGGGCCCCTGATGGGCAGGGTTCGGAGGCAGAACGGGGACCCCCACCTTTGTCCATCCTCTTCTCCATGAGCATCACGGAGCGACGGCGCCGGGCAGCTGGTTTGGGGCACTCCAGCTCTGAGGGGAGGGGGACACGCGAACAAGACGGATTAAGCCCTGGCTGTGGGTTCCTGACGTACCCCTCTCAGTAGCCTTGAGGGAGGAGCGTTGGTGCTCCCATTTGACAGATGAGGAAAGCGAGGCTCCGAAAGCAGTGATCCGCTAGATGGTGGCTGGGGCAGGACTTGCAGCCAGGGCCTGCCGCCTCAGAACAGTGCCCTCCACCTGCTCTCAGCGACTGGGGGAGGCCCCCCCTCCCCGGCCCTCACCTGTCCTGTCCGGAGTCTGCAGGTCTTTGTTGGTCCTGAAGGCCAGCCCTGCGTCCGTGAAGACGCCGGCATAGTCCTTCCCGCTGCCCGCGGTGCAGCCGATGTCTGCCTTCTCCACCACGTCCCAGATCTGTGGGGCGGGCAGGGGTCACGCGGAGGCCTGCATCCCCAGGCCTACATGCCCCGCCGCCCCTGCGTTCTGGTCCCCGGCCCCCCTCAGAGCTGTGTGCGCACCTCCACCCCCTCCCAGCGCGCCTCCTCCACGTGCGCCCGCATCCGCAGCCTTCACTTCGGCCCCACGTCTGTGTCCCCCAGACCTCCTTTCAGCCCAAGCCTGACCCCACCTCCAGTGCCCTTCGGAGCCTCACCCCTTTGCCTCCGCCCCCTTCCCACAAACCACAGCGGCAAGGGCTCACCTTGCTCTGAGTTAACCTGTTCTTCTTGTTCAGCACGTACACCCCCTTGTCCACCGCCACGAGCCCCACTCGGGCCCCCTGGTCACCCTCGATGTTGAGGGTCATCTGCTGCCCAGGTAGGTGCACCCTCTCTTCCTTCCTGCCGCCTTTCACCACCAGCTGTTGGGGGGGGGTGGGCACAGGGGCAGGAGTGAGGAGTCAGTCCTGCCAGGCCCGATCTCCATCAGCAGTCAGGGGAGGGCATGTGTGCTGCGCTGGCCAGGAAGGGGAGGAAGGTGGAGACAGACAGACTGAAGGCAGAAAGGCCAGGGGAGAGGGAGGTACTGAGGCTGAAACAGAGGTGGGGAGACAAGGAGCTGGAAAAGGAGAAGGCGCAGCTCGGCTGGGGAGCCCACCCAGAAGGCGGAGAGAGGCAGAGACGGAGCCAGCCCTGGCCAGGCGGGGAGTCCCAAGGTGGGTGCAGAGGAAGGCTCCAGAAGCTTACCTTGCCCACACAGGAGTCCTTGACATCCACCCACACGGAATCGGCCACCACCTCCCTCTGGCCTTTGCTGTTAACGCAGGTGTAATAAACCAGCAGGCGGAAGGAAGGAATGAAGTCTGCAGTGATGATCAGGGGCAGTGCGATCACATCCTGGCCAAGCTCACGCTTCTGTCGGCCAACCTTCAACAGCTTCCCTTTGTTCATGATCTGGGGGAGACAGGTTGGCGTAAGGAGGAATCAGCAAGGTGAGGGGGGATGGGATGACCCTGGGCGGGGGTGCTGCAGAAGGAGGAGGACGGGCCTGGGACCCTAGAGGGCACGGACCAGGTAGGTGTAGTAGTAAGGATCTTTCTTCTGGGTGGTGGTGGGGTCAATTCGCAGGTGGATGTTGACGTTGAGATCTTCCCCTGGCTTGAGCTCCATGCGAGGCACCGACAGGTGGAGATAGTTACTGCAGCTGCCCATGGTTCTGTAGGGCTGGGCGGTCATAGTCCTGGTGGCCTGTCGTGACTCTGGGATGCCTTCCTTCTTAGTGCTCACCTGGGCGAGGAAAGGGGGATGAGTGCCGGCCGCCCAAACGTGTCCATGTCCTAATCCCTGAGACCTTCTGTGGCCAGAGGGACTCTGCAAGCGGGATTAAGTTAAGGGTCTGAGGACGGGGAGGTTGTTTTGGAATATCCAGGTGGTCGGATCGCATGCAATCACTGGATCCTTAGAAGATAGCTATGCAGATGGCCAGACCCCTGTGCAGAGGAGAACCCCTCTATGCAGATGAAAACATGTCTGTGTGAATGGCAAGATCCCCTGATGCAAATAAAAGGACCCCATTCCTCACAGGGCAGGATGACTGTGGCAGACGACAGAGTCCCTGCCTGCAATACAGTCCCCTATCTCACAGGCGTGGGGCCAGAGGGGGGCAAGGACTCACGGTGACGGGCAGGGACACTGGTTTGTTGGGTGTGTTGATGATCAGCTTGGCCACGCCATCAGCCTGGGTCAAGGAGCGTGCACTGGAGTCCTGGGTCTCCACGGGGACGTTACGTGCTGGGGAGCCATCGGGGTTGGTCACGAACACCTGTGGATGCAGTGCAGGGGCAGGTGGAGAGGGTTCAGGTGGACCCAGAGGCGTGGCCGGTGCTCAGGAGCAGGGTGGAGGGTGCAGCCCCATCCCGGGTCTCACCATGAGGTCAAAGGGCATGCCTGGTTTGAAGAACTTGGACGTCTTGGTGAAGTGGATCTGGTAGGGGGAGGTCACGATGGGGATCCCGCTGCGCTCTGCCTCCACCATGTCGCTGCCTGAGGGGGCCAGCCATGAGGACAGGTTCCTGGGCCACCCCTCCAGTTGGACCACACCTTAGACGGGGCCTCCTGCATCAGACTGGCCTCCTCTATCAGACTGGATCCCCACCATCATACTGGGCCTCCCTGCTCAGACTGTACCTCCGCTATCAGACTGGATTCCACCTTCGTTCTGGCCTCCCCTCCTCAGACTGCGACTCCTCTATCAGACTGGATCCCAATTTCATTTTGGGCCTCCCCCCTCAGACTGGGCCTCCTCTGTCAGACTGGCTGGAACCTTCATTCTGGGCCTTTCCCCATCAGACTTGGCCTCCTCTGTCAGACTGACTCCCGCCTTCTTATGGGACTTCCTTTGCTCAGACTGGACCCCCGCTGTCAGACTGCATCCCACCTTCATTCTGACCTCCTGCCCGCCCCAGATTTGGCCTCCTCTATCAGACTGGATCCCACACTCCTACATGGCCTCCCCCATCAGACTGTGCTTTGTCCATCACACTGGCTGGCACCTTCAGTCTGGGTCTCATGCCTCAGATGGGGCCTCCTCTGTCAGACTCCATCCCAATTTCATTTTGGACCTCCCTACTCAACTGGGCCTCCTCTGTCAGACTGGCTGGAACCTTCATTCTGGGCCTTCCCCATCAGACTTGGCCTCCTTGGTCAGACTGGATCCCAAGTTCATAACTGGCCACCCCCATCAGACTGTGCCTCGTCTGTCAGACTGTCTGGTACCTTCAATCTCGGTCTCCCTCCTCAGACTAGATCCCAGTTTCATTCTGGATCTCCCCCACCCACGCCCAGAATGGGTCTCCTTTGTCCAACTGGGTATCACTTCCACCTGGGCTTCCTCTCTTACACTTGGCCTCTGCCCTCAGACTGGTTCTCCCCTGTCACACTGCAATCCACCTCCATTCTGGGCCTCTGCCCTCAGACTGGGCCTCCCCCCTCATTTGGGTCTCTTTCCTCAGACAGGGCCTCACCTGAGTGCAAGATAACAGTGACGGACACGTACAACGACTTCCCCACCAGGGCATCTGCTCTGGAGGGTTCTACCCCGGCCAGCAGAACCTTTCGTTCCAGCCTGGCATCCCCAGTGCCGTCATTGATCTGGGGGAGGAAAGGAGGCTCAGAGAAGGGGAGGGGATCCGGTGAGGGAGGGGCAAGTCCAAAGTGGAGGAGGCTGGGGGGAGGGGGCGGGCAGAGCACCTGAACACGGGTGAGGGACTGGGGCAGCGAAATCCTCTGGTCACCATCCTGGACCCCAAAGATGACGAAGGCTATTCCATCCACATTCTTCCCGTACAAGAACCTGAGAGGCAAGAGAGTCTCAGGTGCTTTCCTGGCCCACTCAGCCCTCAGCTGGTCCCACAGCTGGCCGCACCCCACCCAGGGTCCCTCACCTGGCCCCTACCTGGCTCCACCCCTAGCTCCCTGGCTAGCATCTAGCCCTCACCTGGCTGTGATGGTGACCTCCAGGCCCTGTGGGTCATCAATGTAGTAGAATTTCTCTGTAGGCTCCACTTGGACCTCAAAACTGGGCAGCACTGGGGGACGAGATGGCACCTGTAGGGTGTCAGCACTGGGCCTGTGACTGGGGGACCCCCCACCCTGGCTCCTTCCTCCTCTTACCGTACTCCTTCACCTCGAACTCAGTAGAGAAGACCTGCTGTGGGGCATCTTCATAGTGGGCTTGTATCTTCCACTGCCCTGTACTGTGGGGAAGGCAGGGGAGTGAGCCAGCCAGACCCGGCTGCCCCACACCCTCCCTTGGCATAGCGAACCCCCTCTAGGAGGGCCTGACATACTTGACCAGCTCCGGGATGCTCCAAGACTGGGACAGGATGCCAACCTGGTTCTGAGAATACAGGGAGTCCTGCTTGATGGTAATATTGTCAGGAGTCTGTGGAGACAGGGAGGGTGTGTCTCTTCAGAGAGCTGGCTTAGCCCCCAGGCTCTCTTCCTCCTCTCTGTGTCTGGACACTCTGTGTCACGACTACNTGGCTTAGCCCCCAGGCTCTCTTCCTCCTCTCTGTGTCTGGACACTCTGTGTCACGACTACCGGGGCAGTGGTTATGAACATGGACTTGAGTCAGTCAGCCTGGGTTCACATGTCCACACTGCCTTTTACCGGCTTTGATACCTTGGGCAAGTTACTGGACATTTCTGTGCTCCGTGTGCCCATCTAGAAACAGGAGAGAACTATAGCCCCGACCTCACTGATTTGGGACATGGTTCATGTCAGCCGGGGCTCACTATCATCAATGGCTGTCTGAATGCTGACAGTGACTAGCATTTATCACCTACTTTGTGCAGGACCCAGTGGTAAGCATTGTATGGGCGCTGAGCCACACAGCATTGCTTACCTTCGACTTCTTGACCTACAAGAATAGCAATTTCATGTGGTTCAACCTAATACTGAGGATTTCATTTGTTGCCAATAATTAAACATCAGGAGACATCATGTAAAAATCTGGCTCTGGCGGCTCTTGGAAGTTGGGGTAACTGTGCATACGGGTTCCTGGTGGCACATAACGACATTTGGCTGGAACTGGGCAGAGGCTGTACCTTTAGATGTGTGTTCTCTGTTCCCCACAAATCCCACTGATCCCCAGAGTCAGCTCACTGTTGCCAGAACCTGGGCCCTGTTGCCTTCGCGTGATCTCAGGAAACACCAGTGATGACCTCCAAAACCGCCTACCTCTTCCCTCGGTCCTTCACTTCCTCCTTCCATTCTCCCTCCCCCCTTTCCTCCCTCTCCTAGTAAATTTTAATGAACTTACTATATGCCAAGCACCCATCCTGTATGGAATTTAGGTTCTGTGGAGGTCTGGGGGGGTGGTTAGCAAATGAACAAATCCAATTTATAGGATGCCTAAAGGAGATGACAGGAAGAGAAGAGAGTGGAATCTTTGGGGGGGGGGGGAGGAGTTGCTCAGAGAGGCCTCTCTGTGAAATTGGGCCATTGGTGGCATTTGAGCAAAGACTTGAGGGACGTGATGGGGCAAGCTGTGTGGTTATTTGGAGGAAGAGAGTTTTCGCAGTAGGGGGGACCAGCCTGTGTAAAGGTCCAGGAGCAGGCCGTGAATGGCAGCTGGAGGTGCAGTAATAAGACCCATGTGGCAGGAGCAGAGCAAGCGAGTGGGGACAGGGTAAATCCTACAGGGCCTTGGGGACTGCCAGGTAGACTTAGGCTTTTACCCCAAGGAGGTGGGAACTCCTGGAGAGCTCTGGGTGGAGGAGGGTGGGACCTGCTCGAGCCTGCCCCCTGGCGGCAGTAGAGTGTACTACATAGTGTTTTTATCTGTTATCCCAATCTTCAGCTGAGAAAACTGAGGCCCAGGAAGAAGAGTGACCTGTCCAGAGTCACACCGTCCCCAGAGGTTTGTCCGGAGCCAGAATCCACCAGCAGAAGCCTCACTGCACCGGTATCCCTGCATCTCTGCCTTGTGTCCAGGGCTCTTTCTGTGTCCGTGACTCTACACATTTCTGTGCCTTTAGGCCTCTGCAGTCCTGCCTTTTCTGGAGTCTCTTTCTCTGTCTCTCTCTATCTCTTTGTCTCTCCCCGAGTCTCCGCTCGGGGCATGTCTGGGGCCCCGGCTGGCTGGTACCTGGATGGTGACGATAACGGTCCGGCCCACGGGCAGTAGGTCATTGTTGACGGTGAAGATCCGGTAGTAGACTAGAAGATGGGGGGAAGGAAAGAGGGGGTGAGTGAGGACCTGCGCCCCTCCCCCCCAGTCTGTCCGGCCCTCTCCAGCCACCGCCCAGCCCCTCACCTGTGGAGCCTGGGGTGTAGATGGGCTTGTCCGTCTGGATGAAGAGGTACCCACTTTGAAAGCTGACCAGTACATTGTTCTCCACCACAGTGCCCCCGAAGTCCGCCTGGACAGTCACGAATTTTTTCCCCTTCCCTGATGTTAATTCCTTGCTGGCCGGGATCTAGGCATGGCCCAGAGAATCGTTGAGATGCCAACTCGGACCCTTTGCCCACATTCAGCCCCAGCCTTTTGGTGGGTCCCCTCCTGCCTGCCCCTCCTGCCAGGAGCGCCCGTCCCTCCCTGGGGGTCTCCCTCGTGTGCCCAGGTGGGGGCAGAGAGGTGCTAGGGGGGGAGTAAGGGCAAGAGGCGGGTAGGGATCAGAGGGGGGATGAGAAGGGGAATCAGACGGGAGCTTAGAGGACTTCAGGCGGGAGAGGGGTCAAAGCTCAGGATGGGGGGGTAATTGAAGGAGGAGTCACAGAGAGGGGAGGGACATCAGCAGGTGCACCCACCTTGATGCTGACTGTGCTCAAGTGGTCTTTGTCTCTGGTCAGAGCAGTGTTCTCACTGAACAGCACTTGCTTCTTGGCCGGAAAGTCGTAGACGCTGACCGTGACTGCAATGTTATTGTCCAGGTCATGGGCCTCCAGCAGTACCTTCTCCTCACTCTCCAGCCGCAGGACATTGGGGGTGATCATGGAGAACCTGCAGGAGCCAGTGGAGCGCAGGATGGAGCTGCCCTCCTAGGGACCCAGGGTCCCACCCTCACCCACACATCACGGAGCTCCCAAATCCTGTGAAGTCAGATTACGAGCCCTCCAAATCACCACAGGCACAGAATCACTGAACACACCATATGCACCCAAACCTCCAGACCCCTGGTTCTAGAAACATCCGCCTCCTGTCACTACCCCGAATGCCACAAACACCCAACCCATGAAACCACGAGCTCACAGGCAGCCGGAATGGATTCACATCCCAACCCGCTGACCCCTGCCTCCACAGACCCATGTGCACCCTGGATTCTACTGGGACCTGAACCCATAAATGCCACTCCCACCTCACAAGTAGCCTGGTTTGGGGAAGGGGCATGACCACTCACATGGGGTCCCCCAGTGCCAGGGGCAGGCTGGTGAGCAGCAGCAGCAGGCTGGGGCCTGAGGCGGGCCCCATGGTGCAGGGAAGGTGGAGGGACAGAGGAGTGAGGGAGAGGATTGGGAGGGAATGAGCAGAGGCTGTTGGATGCTGTCTTTTATCTGGCTCCCGCCTCCCCGCCTCCGGCCTCAGCCCCGCCCACAGCTCCGTGGCCTCCCCCTCCTGGAGCTGCCCCAGATTTCTCAATACCATTTCCCAAGTTTTTCAATTCCTGGGGCCAGTGTGTCCTGAGGTAACTAACTTGAGGGCATGCCCTCCAGCAGCATGGACACACCTTCCCCCTGCCATGGTCTCCTCAGGGTCAAGGTCAGTTGGTGAACAAAGACCTTTCCCTGTTATACATACTTAGTGGTGTAGGAACACTGAGGGCCAGAGATCTCCCCATCCTAGATAGTTGTGCCTGTTTCCCAGTCTGGTTTTGTCCTTACATTGTTTAACCAATCCCTTCTGAGCGGCCCATCTCAATGTTGGTAGGTAGAGCCCCTCTTCCATGCTGTGGTCAGGCTGGGGGACAGAGGCAGCCCAGACACTCCAGTCCCCATGCTGTGTCTTCCCAGTGAAGAACTCTGCTTTGTTGAGTGTCAGGAAAGACTTCTGAGAGGAGTGGACATTTCAGCTGGGCTTTGAAGTATGTGTTGAAGTTCACTCTCCCTGTGATCATGTGTTTTAATACAAGTGGAACCTGGAGATCCCTTCATGTACCCTTGTCAAGATGCCTGCGAGACTAGAATGGTTAAAAAAAAATAAAAGCTTTCCTCATCCGTGAGGCAAGTTCCCATTGCTCGCTTTTTTTCTGTCTTACATCCACATTAGAATATTATTACCAGTATTAAATATTATTATTATAAATCGTGTTTAATTTTTTGTATGAATAGCTAAGATAGTCATAGGGTTCAACACCTAAAGGGCCCAAGTAGATGTACAGGGAAAAGGCAATTTGCCTCCTCTTCCTGCTGCCAGCCACTCTGGTCTCACATGCCGCAGTGCCACCAAATCCCTTGTTTCCTTTCACAGGTATGCATTGTTAAATGTTTGCAAGTTTTAAAAACAAATTACCAGCATTTTCTGCATGCTCTTCTTCCTGGTCTTCCTGGGTCACACCCTGCTTTTTTCATAAACCATATCCCTTCCAGATCCTTTATTATCAGTGCCCAGAGAGCTTCCTTGTTCTTAGAGGCAGCTTCCTCCTGTTACATTGTGTGCAAGTAACCGGCCTCTTCCCAATGGACAGACTTCCCTGGTTACAAGCCATGCCCTCTCCAGTGAGTAGTCTTGAGCCTGCGTCACTTTCCAGCTCTGAACTTATTAGTGGTATACTTTGGGCACTTGATTAATAACCACTCTGCACCTCAGTTTCCCCAGGTCAGATGAGGCTGTATTAGCACACACTTCACAGCTCTCATCGCCGTGAAAGGACATGACCCTGGACCAAGTGCTACTTGCATTAGTAACCCTGCAAGATATTGCTGTCTTTCCCTCCTTGATTGTACTGAATTACATACTTACTGGCCTTGCAGGAAATTGCTGGATTTCCCCACTGCCTCACATTGTCAGCATGTTGGCAAAGCTTTGCATTTTTGCCTCAGTGTCATTTCGATGTGTGTCTGTTGGATTCCCAGCAAGTTGTGCAGTGGGGGAGGGGGTTTGTAAAGTCCACGGCACAGGAGGCAACAGGTATGTGGTGGGGGTGTCCCGATCTCTGAAAGGCCTGGTTTCCAAGGTTCCAAAGAAGGAGTTAACGGGCAACCCGGCTCTGATTTCCTGTAAACCAGCCTCCTTTCCTGGCCTAGGCTGCATGCCTGGAGTGGGGGAGGTGTGCAGACACAGAACAAACCTGGACCCTGTCTACTTTGATTGCATCACCCCTTCTTTGGAAGGAGTGAGGCGGCAAGCACCTGCTTACTGTCCAGAACTGAGATTCGACTTCTCAAGCAGGGGTTGGTGTACCTCCTAGGGTCCCCCAAAGCTCCCTGACTCCACTTTCCTCCCCCACCCCCTTTCCTGGTTTCATTAGAGCTTTAAACATTCAGGGTTTCTTGTTTCACTCTCTTGGGAAGGTATTCCTGCTGGCCTGTGCCTCCCAGCGAGGCTTGGTTCTGGCTTTCCTAGACCTCAGTTAATCCGTCTGAACAATGGGATCCAGGATAGCTCCTGTTGTTTTGACAAAGGACCCAAGATGCTTCAGAGCGTTGGGCTTGGAGGGAAGGTTCATGCTCATGGTGGAGGAGGTCTGGGAAGGGCTCTGGCATGGACCTCCAGGAAGTGACCAGAGGGGTGAAAGCAGAAGCAGAGGTGGGGATGGTAGAAGGAAGAGATTCTTGGAAGCTTCATCCTTGGGAATGTGCATTTGTGCCCAGAAGTGTGTAGAAGGATGGCAGGCAAGATAAGCCAGCAGGGGAGAGGGAGGAGGAGGCCTGGAGGATGGGATTCCCGTTAGCTGGCGCACCCTGCCCGGCACTCCAGGTATGGAGGGCGGGAGAGCCAGGCTGCCTGGGGAGAGGCTAACTGGGGTCTCTGGGAGGCACTTAACCCCAACAAAGGGTTTGCTGTGTGCCTGCAATTTCATTTGAACTGGGGTCCTGTGTTTTGTCTGGTCACCCCAGCTGGAGGAAGGAGAGAAGAATGGGAAGAAAGTGGGTGTGATTTCTGGGTCTGGGGAGCCCGGGTACCCCTCTCCCACTTTATGCCCCCTTGAGTGCAGTGATTTCCCTGCTGCACCCCCTCCCCCCACCCTCACCCTTCAGAGGTGGTGCCAGGCTGGGAGCACAGGGACTGCCGTCCCCTCCTGGCCCCCAACTGCCAGAATGGGGTCCTTGCTACACTGCTTTCTGAGAATTTCCCTCCAGGACCCATGGCCATGGCACCTCCCCCACCATGCAACCCAGGCCTCCCCTCTCCCCCTGCTCATTACTCATTAACTGGAAGGTAAACTTGGCCTGGTTGAATCTGATCTGCCTCATGGCTCCTTCCCTCAGCCCCCTGCACCCCTGACTCAAGCTCAGGAGAGGCCTGAGCACCGGGGCTCCCACCCTGGGGTTTTCAGGGGCGGACTGGACATTCACAGCCATTACTGTCCCTCTGAGTGTTGGGGTGAGAAGCCAGTGGCCTGGGGCAGGCAGTAGGCTCCGGTTGGTGCCCCGCACGCGGTGCACACTCACTGCACATGGACTGTATGTTTCTTGTTTCCAACTCCTGCTCCTCCCCGTCACCTTGCTTCATTGACAGCCTTGCCAGGCCTCCAAGCCAGTTCCCCCCATCTTCCTCCCTCTCCCCTGCATTCATCGTCCCAGTCTGTCTGTCTGTTCTCTGCCCTCCTGTGGTCTATGGTCTCCCTGCTGCAGGTCACTTCTTCCAGCCCATATACTCTACAGCAACTGGGGACTTGTAAAAACACACCTTTGTGACCCTACAAAATTATGGTGTGGAATACATGCATGCACGCTGGTGAGCTGGTCTTCATAAGACTCAGATGTAGCACTTTATCTATGTCATGAAACTCATTTCCTCGGCATCCCTATTTTACAGACCAAGAGTCTGAGGGCTTTGGCCACTTGCCCAAGATCCTCTAGGTGGGAGGAGCTGGGATTTGAACCCAGGCAGCCAGGGGTCCAGGGTTCATGCTCCTAAGCTGTAGGAGTCTCTGACTGCTGTTGTAAGAAGTGACCACAAACCTGGTGGCTTAAAATCACACCTAGGTATTATCTTACAGGCTGGAGGGCTGAAGTCTGAAGTCAAGGTGGGGGCAGGGCTGTGTTCCTTAGGGAGGTTCCAGTGGAGGGAATTGGGAATCCACTTCCTGCCTTTTTGGGCTCCTAGAGGCCCCTGCACTCCTTGGCTGGTGGGGTGGGGGCTTTCTCCAGCCCCACACACATCCCTCCTGCCTGTTTCCTTGTGTCTCTCCTTGTCTGACTGGGACCCTGCTGCCTCCCTCTCCTACGGTCCCTGGTGGTGACATGGGTCATCCAGGATCACCTCCCATCTCAGGGGCTTTAGCTGAATCCCATCTGCAAAGTGCCCTTTGCCGTGTCATGTAACATCCTCGCAGGTTCTGGGGGTGGGGATGTGGACATCTGTGGACAACCGTGATCCTGTGCACCTCTGCACGCACAGGGAGTACAGCACCGACCTCCTACGGTCACGTCCTTCCCTGCTTTGCCTTCTCCTTGGCTCCCACAGGCACTTGCGTGAAGTCCAAGTGTTGTCTTTAGGCTTCTGCCAGCTGTTCCCCACCCTCCCCGCCGCCCTCTCGGCCCCAGCCAGCCCTGCAGTGCGCCTGGCCGGCTATTCTGGGCTTCTCTGCCCTGCTCACATAACTTGCTCAGTCTGCAACGCCTTCTCACTTCCTTGTCTGGCTGGGCTATTTATTCATCTGGGCCCCGTTATACTTGTTTCTGTTTGCAGGAAGCCTTGACACCCCCTCCCCCCCATCATCCCAGGCCTGTGCCCCCCGCTGAGAACTGTCTGGTAACAGGCACTCTGCCTGAAAGGTGGGTTGGGGAGAGGGGAGAGAACATCATCTCTGGAGCTGCCCACGTGGGGACACAGGTGCTCTGCTAACCTGAGGTCACTCCTGAAGGTTCAGGGCAGCCCGCGAAAGGTTAGGCTCATGCCATTATCTCATGTGTGATCTCAGTGGCCTAATGAGAACCTCATTTTGCATGTTAGGAAACAGAAGTGATACCTCGTACCCAGGCCCACACAACAAAGGGCAAGGTGGGTTTGGGGAGTTAGGAAGAATTGGTCGGAGGGAGTCTAGGTGCGGAGGGGCAGAGCGGTCGGTGGTAAAGTGCAGCCCTGAGGCCAGACTGCTAGTGTTTTGAGTCCTGAGTTTCGCAGCTCCTCAGCTGTGTGACCTCGGGCAAGCTACTTAGGCTCTCTGTGTCTCAACAGGTTTTTTAACAGGCTTCCAGGGTCAATGGAAGCCTAGAAGAGGGTGTGGCACACAGCAGCCACTGGGTGGCGTGAGGCAGGACTCCTTGACACCTCAGTGCGCACTCCTCGCGTGTCTAGCAACCAGCATGTTTTCCTCACCTCCAGCCTCTGCACACGCCGTCCCTCCCCTGGGCCTGGGGTCCTTCTCCCACTTCTCTCTTCACTTCCCCCCACTTCCCAGGCTGGGCCGCGGCCCTGTGAGGGAAGCGTCTGGTGACTCATCCTTGTCCCTGCCAGCCCCCCACCCCCAACTGTGAGCCCCTTGAGGGTGGAGCCTGGGTGGGTCTTGGTCACTGCTCTGTCCTCAGCACCCAGCTCAGGGCCTGGAAGGGTACAGCTGCTCGACTGACATTTACAGAGAGTGGAGGGGGCGACTGATACTGCCACCTCCCCCACCGCCCATGAATACAGGTTTCTCAATTGTAAGCAAACCTCTGTGTTAGATCTCAACAGCCAGAAAAAGGCAAGAAACGAGGCTAGCAAAAACAGATCGGTCATTATTGTGCAACTGCAAGTGGCAGATGGCTCCGGGGTGGGGACAGGATTGCCCAATACTTGGGGGAAGTGGGGAGCACTCTTCTCAATGGGCTCTGAGGCTTAAGCCTCAGGGGGCTGGGCGCTGCACGCCCCCAGGCGCCCTCCCCCTCCTCCCCCTCCTGGCGCTGTGGGAGCCTGCGGGAGTGAGGAATGTGAGGAGGGGTGGGAGCAGGCGGGAGGCGAGCGCCGGTCCCAGATGCCCCAGATGCCGGGATGATCACAACAGTTCCCGCCCGCTCGCTGTTTTGTTGACTTTGGACAGGCCTTCCCGGAACCCAGAATCGGTCATTCTAGAGGCAGATAACAAAGAGGTGGCTCAGGACTTGAGGGGGACTATGCCCCGCCCCCGCTCGTGCCCATCAAATCCAACCCTAGAGCTGTCCGGCCCCGCCCCCGGGCTCTGGCCCCGCCCCCGGGCTCTGGCCCCGCCCCCGGCCCCGCCCCGCTCACACTTGCTCCGCTTGCATGTCCTCCTCGTCCTCCTGAGGCAGCTGCAGGTATGGGTTGTCGCCTGCTGGCTGGAACTTGTAGCCAGTGAGCACGAAGAAGGCGAGAGTGGAGCCTTCCACCAAGAGCTGCGGGTGGAGGGCAGGAGGAGTGTCAGGCACAGCCCCTGTCCCCCTCAGGCACTGTGTGGCCCACCCTCCCCCCTGCCTGTGGCTCCCGTGTCCACCTGGTACAGCCACTGCCACTGGAAGGGGACGGCCACCTGCAACAGGATGGCGATGATCCTCGTGAAATAGACGTAACAGATGACCTGCAGGGGCAGGGACAGATGGCAGGGAGTTGGGGCTCAGAGTGATGGCTGATGGCAGAGGGAAGGGTGAGAGTGCTTATGCCAATGGGTTGGTTGGACCCCCCCCTGCAAGAAAAAGACACGAAACACCCCCCCCCCTCCGCAAAAACCAAAACCTTCCCCTAGTGAGAACGGGGCTCCTACCATGATGTAGTAATGCCGAAAGAGCTTCAGCTTGGCCAGGTTCACTGCCACTGAGATGTACACAGAGAGTGGGGTTAGGGGAAGGAGGCTGGGGCCACTGGACGGGCCGGGGAGTGGTGGTGGAGGAGGGAGTGGTGCGGAGGGCAGAGAGAACATCTTGGGGAGGGGTCGAGGGGCAGGAAACCTGGAGGGGGCTGTTTGGGGTGGGGGCGCAGGACAGGGAGAAGGTAGAGAGGCAGGAAGGCAGGGAGAGAAGGGCCATCCAGGCATCAGAAAGAGGGGCCTGGAGCGGGACAGGGGCTGGGGGCCCAGAGGGTCCCGGGACCAGGGGTCTCACCCTTTCCATCAGTGCCAGATGCGTCCTGGAGGTGCCGGATGGACCTGGAACGGGGCAGGGGACACAGGGAGCCGTCAGCACTACCTCTGGCCATGTTTGTGGTGGCTGGCGGGGGGTCAGGGTCTCAGCCTCCGGCAGGGCTCACGCGTGGGACCCTCACCAGACCACAGGGAAGAGAATGGCGCCACAGCAGATGAGATCCACCAGGAAGAGGGTCTCCTTCCAAAGCCTGTAGTCGCTGGCACCCTCCTCGCGGGACTCAATGACAATGTAGGCCACATTGGCCAGGACCTGCCGGCAGCATGGGCTGGGTAGATGTGCCCCAAGGGCGCAGGTGTGCCTGCACCCATCCCCACCCACCGGCCTGGGGCCTCCCGTGCACCTGCAGGGGAATCACGATCCCAAAGATCTTCTTCTCCTTGTCTGACAGGACATACTTCACGAAGGCCCAGCCAGAGCCGATCAAGGCGATGGTGATGAAGAGGAGAGCACCCTTCAGCCTGGGGGGAGCGTGTGTGGTAAGAGGGGTGGCCCCCCTCCCCAGCCCACCCCCTCAACCTGCCGCAGAGAAGGGCACTCACAGGTGTGTGATGTAGTGCATGACGGCGAGGCCTTCGATGGGGTGACCCTGGCTGTTGATGAAGTAGTAGTTGATCTGGAGGTGGATGCATGGACAGTCAGACAGACGGATGGACGGGTAGGTGGACAGTGACAAGTGTGAGGCTAGCGATGGTTTAGGAATGTGGACGATCACTGTCGCATGGTGGCCAGAAAGTGGACAGAGCTGACAGTTACACTCAGGACGTGGCAGGGGGACTCAGAGATGGCCGTGACAACATAGGGGTGGATGGCGGGAATGACAGATGGGCAGTCACGGCCGTGACAAAGGCGGGGACATCACAGCTGGGTGGATGGGTGATGAGATAGTGGGATGATCAGTCCAGGGGAGAGTCAGAGCTGGGCCAGTGGACAGTCACAGCTGGACAGAAGGACAGGCAAGCAGCTGAGCTGGGTGGACAGTTGGTGGCCACAGTACAAAAATGGCTGGACATGTGGACAGTGGGACGAATGGACTCCCAAGCCCAGGGTCTGCACAGATTTGGGGAGTGGGCTGCACGGGCTTCTTCCTGAACCGAGACCCCAGCCCACCACCTTCTGTTCTGGGCCCAAGATCTCACACTGTGGAAAAGGAGGGAGATGCTCTTGGTGAAAGCCAGGGCTGCCATAAGCCAATGGATCTTGAAGACGTTGTACCTGGTGGTGGGGGATGGGGGTGTGGTCAGGGACAGACAGGGGTGGAGGGCATGAGTTAGGGGCAGGGATGGGAGGGTATGAAGAGAGGAGGTAGGGGCCCCCCAGGCATTACGTGTTCTTGCAGAGGATGGACACCCAGAAGATGCCAGCGGCCAGGAAGCAGGCAGACATGACCATATACAGCTTGAAAAGGGGAATTTCCGCTGCTGACAGGAAGCCCTCAGGGTTCCTCTCCCGGATCATGACCTGGGGAGGGGGCAGTGGTGGGTGGTGGGGATGGCTCATGCCAGCTCTGGATGTGCAGAGCCGTGAGTAGGAGTCTCGCTGTTCCACTCTCAGGCTCCCCCTCTCCGTGCCTCGGTCTTCCCATCTCCCAGATGGGTACATCGGCCTTGCATTCCACAGCATGGCCTCAGGGACGCTGTGGCACCGCCGCCTCGCATCTGCTCACCGTGATGTCAAACGGCCGCTCCTGGCCCGGCTTGGAGTTGTAACAGTTGTGGAAATTGAGGCTGTACTGGCCTTCCTCAGCCTGGGAGCCGATCACCACGTGGAACTGGGGGACAGGGGGGACAGACAGAGGGAGTGGAGGCCTCAGCCTGGGAGTCCCCACTCTGGGGGGAGGTGGGGCTGCAGGTGCTCACAGACACTCACGCTGAAGTTGTAGGAGTTGTTGAGGTGCCCAAGACCCAGAACCAGTTCCTTGTCCTCGCTGGGGCCCTGAGGGGACAGAGTGGTGCATGGAGCACCAGGGACCCCCCGCCTGGGTCCCTGTATGCCCCTGAAAAGACCTTCCCCGGACCTGCTGGGCTTCCTGAGACACTATGGGTTTTGCCTTGGCCTTGTCGAGCGCAGGGGTGGTCCCTGTAGGGGACAAGGGCATGAGTTTAGAGGTGGACGGACAGATGGACAGCAGAAAAACGGGAGGCGGCCCAGAGCAGCCCTGGCCATCTCCCCTCTCCCCGCTCATATGGCCAGCCTCACTCACCACTGTCCACTTTAGGGGTGACTGTGTGCACTGGCGCTGGGGGCCCTGGTTCAGAAGGTGCTTCGGGGAGGAGCCCAGGAGAGATGAACAGCTTCTTCTGCTCCCCATACTTCCTCACCTGGACCCTGGGGTGAGGGTGGGGACCGTGACAGTGAGGCCAGGAGGCTGAAGGCTTGGGTCACGCACACCACCTGTACAGAGGGACTCAATGGGCCCTTGGGCCCGTGGGATCTCCTTTCTGAGGGCCAGCGTCAGGCTGAATCAGCGGTCACACAATTCCAGCACTGGCCGTCGCCTGTCAAGATGGCTGCCACGCCTGTGAGATGCCTGCACCCGGGACTGTCACTTCCCATGAGAGTGGCTTACTCAATTCTACTTAAGTGCATTATTTTAAATGAAAATGTGTCTATACAGGGGCGCCTGGGTGGCTTAGTCGGTTGAGCGTCCGACTTTCGCTTAGGTCATGATCTCGCAGTTCGTGGGTTCGGGCCCGCGTCGGGCTCTGTGCTGACTGCCAGCTCAGAGCCTGGAGCCTGTTTCAGTCTGTGACTCCCTCTCTCTCTGACCCTCCCCTGCTCGCACTGTCTCTCTCTCCTAGAAATAAATAAAAACATTAAAAAAAAAATGTGTCTATACACATGCTACATGGTACCATTGGACTCTGGTGCCAGGCTGCCTGGGTCTAAATCCCAGTTCCTGGGCCTCAGTTTCCTCATCTTTAGAATGGGGATAATAATAGTATGATGAATCGCTGAGTTAACACCTGTAAAAGCTTGCAGGATGCTGCCTGGAACATAGGAAGCATTCAACAAGCATGAACGACTGCTGTGGATTCTCACAACACTCCTCTGTGTCCGTGTCTTCTGCCCCAAGACCCCAACACTTCTTGGGTACCCTGCCCCTCTCTTCCTGTAATCAGAAGGCTGGTGGAGAAATTGAAAAGCAAGTGGCTTTTCACATAAGTTCTTTCAGCTGGTTTCCGATCCCACCTGCTCAGCGCATGTGGGCAGCACACCCAGGGAAACACAAATGATGGGGCCCTGGACCATCAACTTACCGCAGATCCTTGGTGTCAATGAGGAAGAGAACCAGGAGGTTGCTACTGTTTTTCTGGAGAGGACAATCGTGGGGGTCCCGGGTCTGGGGAGTGGGTAAGAGGGCGCCTTGGTTATGGCCTCCCGATAGCCCACCCCCACCCTGCCTCTTCCCTGTGTACCCTGCAAGGGAGGGTCACTTCTTGCTCCCCTCTCTGGGAGAGAACAAGGGCCTCTGGGCTCCAGATGTAAAGGACAGACATCCCAGGCCCCTCTCACCCCCTCCACACCTCCCCCTGCACTCACTGAGTAGGATCGAGCACTGCCAGGTCGGACCCGAGTCAGACTGAACCCCACCTGGAAGGTGGAAAGAAAGGGGCATGAAATGAGGGATTCCGCAGGGACCTCGCCAAGGGACCTCTTTGAGAAGCAAGAGAAATACAGCCTCAAATTTACTAAACACCTTCCTATGTGCTAGGTCCCACATTCACTCATGGAATTTTCCAGCACACCATCCTGCCCTTGACTTCTCACACTCTTAACTCCGAACCATCTCTCTACACGGATGTCACTTCCCTAGGGAGACCCGTCGCTGGTCCTCTGGACCCAGCCCATCCTGTTTCCACCCAATTAAAACGTTGACGTAATAATGCCCTCCCTCCATCAACCCAGGCTCAGGGCTAGCACACATTGCAGGAGATTTTGTTATTCCCAGGTTACAGGTGAGGAGCCTCAGAGGGGCCAGCGGACTTGCCCAAGATCACACGGGTGAGAGGCAGAGCTACAAACTGAGGACTGGGGGCTCGGAAACGTGTGCTCTTCACTCTCTTCTAGCAAAATCCTCGAAGCCCCTCACCAGCGGGGCCTTCTCTTCCGTCTCCGGGAGGCCCAGACGCAGGACGCTCAGGTTCACCTCGAGGGAGCCATTGGCGTAGAAGCCGAAGCTGTTCAGCTGGATGTGCGCTCGCTTCTCCCCCTACCGGAGACCAAGGAGGCAGAGGCAGCTCAGACTTCTTTCCACCAATTCCGCCCCACGGCTCAGGCGCCAGGTTCCCCTAAGGGCACGGCCCCCTCCTGGTACCCCTAGATTTAGGACAGGTCCAGAGAGTAATGGGAGAGGCTGAGAGGGCCTTCCTGGAGGCCATGTCCCCAGACGAATCCCAGGTAGAAGGGTAGCCCCAGATCCAGCCACCGTTCTGCGAGTCCAGCAACAGAAAGCCTGGGGCCTTTGCAAGTCTCCGCACCGGGTGAACACCAGCCCAAAAGCAGAGTTATAGATCTTCGTGCGCCAAGCTCTGACCTCCTGGTTTGTAGATTCCAACTGAATCCCCAAGATCCCAGTGACTGCCCAGAGGACCCCATCCTAGAAAACCCAGGGACTCCCCTGGGCGGCGCCAAGGATGCCTGCGTCCCCAGAGCAATCCCAAGAATTTAGAGGACAAGGGGAGGGGGGAGGTGGTCCTTGGAGCTGAAGACCCACCCCCCCAATGGGCGGGGCACAGACCAGCGCAGCCAGCCGGGCTGCGCCACCAGAGAGACTGAGGGGATTCCTCGGGCTAGACCACTACGGGCCTGGCGGCGGGGGGCGCCGGACCGCTCCATCCCGCGTAAGAAGAGGGGGAGGTAGGACGAGACCACTCCAAACCAGGGGCTTCTTTGGGACAAAACTGCCACCCCTCCCGAGCCCGCCACGCGGCGGGACTCACCGTCAGCGCCAGTCGGTGGATGCGCCCAGAACAGCCACCCAAGAGCAGCAGCAGAAGTAGCCCCTGCCCCCACTCCAGGGGGGTCCGGGGGGCGAGCCCCCTCCTCTCGCTCACTGCCATCTCTGGAGCCGCCACCTCCCCTGACACCGCCTCTGACGCCCCCACCGCTAAGGGGTGAGCCAATCGCCGCACGGTGGGGGCTGACCCTCCGGCATTTCCAGCACATCCAGCCAATCAGTGAGTGTTTCCTAGAAAATCCGCCCCACCCCCTCACGACACCAAATGGACAACACCGACTCCGAATGGGGTGCTGATAATGCTTAACCCCGCCTCCGCTCTCACCAATCACTAGAAAGATTGTCCCAATATAGGTTGACAAACAGTTCATCTGACCAATTGTGATGGATCTGATATCCCGCCCTTGAAGCGAAATTCCTTCATCCACGCCCAACTGAAGATCTGTCCAGGACTACATTACCCAGAATGCAGTGAGAGCAGACAGCGCACCAGGGCATTCAATAAACTACATTTCCCAGTATCCCCAAGGACGGACTTCCCCTTTTCACGCCAGGGAGGTGGCTCCCAGCCAAAGCACAGACTTTTGGTAAACACACGCATCTGCCGAGGCCTGTCCTTTTCTAATCTTCCAGATCCAAGGAGGCCTAAACGTAGCCCCAGGTTAAATCTTGACCCTAGGATGACCTATGAGCCTGGGCTGGATCCCAGCCTTAGGCGGAGCCTCCCACCCTAGAATGAGGCAACTAGAAGCCCATCCACAGATCCCAAGCTGGACTTCTCGATGGGCTGAACACCAACCCCAGGCTGTGTCCCTACCTGCAGCTGAGCCCCGACATCAGCCTGAAATCCAGACTTCCCCACTCCCTTCTGACCCTCAACCTACACTGAGCCTTAATCTCTGGTTGGCCCCTCCATTTGGAGTCCTAACCTCAGACTAGGCCTGACCTCTTGGACCCTAGTTTGAGTCCAAGACCCCCTACTGGGTTGCTGACCCCTCCATGCAGCTTCTGACCCGTCTGAGATCCCAACCCAACTGTGGTGCCGACCTGGCACAATTTGAGGTCAGGGTGAGACTCTAACACCAGGCTGAGCCACTGATTGATTCATCTGGTCCCCCAGCCCCTGGAGCACAGCCCACTTTACAACTTGAGGTTTTCTAGCTCAGAAGCCACCAGCAGGTGGGGCCAGGTCCCCACAGGGCCATCTGTCCCAGTGTGGGCTCCTGGGACTATTCTCTGGGGCTCCCAGTTGTGTCTACTGAGAACCTGGGAGCTTAGAGCCTAACTTGTGCCTGGGGGCTCTGGGGCGTCTGTCACCTCTGTAGACATTAAGGACCAAAGTCTGGAGACAGGAGGGTGGGAGCTGCAGGATTCTCTCTCCTTTCATCCCAGTGCCTTAAAGAGATTAACGAGGTGCGAACAAACTTTTATGAAGGAGGTGACACACTTCCAACCCCCAGAGTCCAAGTGTCTGGAGGGAGAGGTGGAGTCGGAACCAGGATCGGTACAGACTAGGAAACCTGATTGGGTCTTAATGGATGCGACTGGAAAATGGGCAGGTGGAAACAAGAACTGGTTGAGAGCCGAGGAAAGACCTGGGCCAGGTGCCCCAAGGACGGCCCGTCCTCAGTTTCCCGGTGCAGACTTCAGGAGGAGGTGGGAAGGCAGGATGCGGTGGGGCGCTAATGGACCAGGCCTTGGCACGGACGCGTTCCGGGCAGGATCGAAGTCCTCCCATCCGCCCTGTGGCCGGAGGGAACGAGACCATTAGTGGGACGAGCATAGATGTCTGGAGCCCAGTCGGCCCACAAGTGCGGGGTGACCTCAGGTTCTCCCACAGAAGGGGTGGGGGAAGGACCTCTCGGGTTGGGGTTTTAATGTCTTGGCCCTTTAAGGAATGGTTGAAGGAAAAGAGAAAAAGTAAGAACAGCCCCAGGCAGGGCAGGCGTGGAGCGGATTGGAGGAGCCTGGGGGATTTGGAAAATGGGTGGGGTTCCTTTAAGGGGTCGGTCCAGGGGCATCGGATGGCAACGTTCCTTTAAGAGGGGGCGGGGCGTCCGTAGGACCCCGCCTCCTTGGGGGTCCCGCCTTTAGGGCGCTGTTCAGGGGCTCCGCGCAGATGGGGGGCGTGGCAGGGCCCGCGGGGGCGGGGCCGAGCCTGGAGTGGGCGGGCCCGGGCGGGCGGGGCCGGGCGCACCGCCCCGAGCTGAGTCTCCCGGCGGCGGGCGGCGGGGACCGGGCGCGGCGGCGGCTTCGGCGGGAGCAGCATGGATTGGGGCACTGAGCTGTGGGTGAGTCCGATCGGCCTGGCTCCACGTTCCTCCCTTTCTGGAGTCCAGAACCCCCATCCCCTTTGCTCCTGCAATACCTTAGCGGGAGCTCGGAACTCTCCCCTTCAGCGACCCCTGGAGACCCAGCTTTCCGCCCTCTCTTGGAGTTTCCCAGGGCGTTTCTGGACGCCCTGGGCGAAGGGCGACCTTGCAGGAGCGGAGTGGGGAAACTGAGCGCGGGGTTCGGAATGAGGAGGGCAGAAGTCCTGGGACAAGGCCGGGGCGGCCGGGCGAGGTCACCTATTTTGAGCACCCTGGCTGGGCCGGCGGCTTATCTTACGGCCCCTGGGTCCCTGCCCGCCGCCCGCCTGTCCGGCTTGGGCGGGGGAGGGGACCCTCTGGCCACTTTCAACTCCACGTGGGACCTAGAAGTTCTGATTGCCCTTCCGGCGCCTCCAATCTACACCCTGGAGCTTGGGACCCTCGGGTGGGGGGGAGGGGGCTGCGAGGCCTCGCCTCGCCTCGCAGCCCCCTCCCCCAACCTGCCCCAGGCACAGGGAGGGGCTGCCCCCAGGCCACCTCTACTCTCTATTCTGGAAGCCCCAGAAATTCCCCCGTATCCTAGCCCGGACCTCTGAACCCTCCTTTTTATGGGGGCGGTGGCATCCCTGGGTTCCTGGGTGCAGCGGGATAACTAGATTCCTTCCCCCACAACTCTGGCGTTTCTTTTGGAGGTGCAGTGGACTCTGGGGGAGACGGAGTCATATTGGGAGGGTACCCCGGGAAGCTTGGCGACCCGAGGAACATGGTGCCCGTGCCCTGGACATTCTGGGGCCCCCCCAAGCTGCAGGGAACCCTGCCCCTCTGGCCTGACTCACGCCGGGCCGGCCGGATTTTCCGGAATCTGGAGGGGGGGATTAGGGGAGCCAGGGCTGGGGGAGTGGCTCTGCCCCATTCCACACCCCTCTTGGCGGTCTGGCGACCGGGACCCTGTAGTCCGGCTGGGGCCCCGCCCCTGTTCCCTGGCCCTTCCCGGGAAGGGGAGGGGGTTCCCGCCGGTTTCCTGCCCCCCCTCCCGCGCCGCGCCGGGGCGGGGCCGGGAAGCCACTCCTTCTCGGAGCTCAGAGCCTTGAGGCTTCTCACGCCGCCCGGTCGGCCAGCTGTGGGGTCCCAACATCTTGTTCCGGATCCTCACACCTTCCAGGATCAGTTTGAGGTGCTCGAGCGGCACACGCAGTGGGGGCTGGACCTGTTGGACAGATATGTGAAGTTCGTGAAAGAGCGGACCGAGGTGGAGCAGGCTTATGCAAAGCAGTTGAGGTGAGCCCTTAAGGGGAACCCACCGTGGGGCTTGGGGGAGCTGTTGGAGGGCTAGGGGCTCACCTTTCTGCCTCTCTCTGTTAGGAGCCTGGTGAAAAAATACCTACCTAAGAGACCTGCCAAAGATGACCCGGAATCCAAGTAAGGATAGAGAGGAATTGCAGGGCTAGATTTGGGGGGCCCCCCGAGGGTGTGGGTCTCACTTTCTCTCCCTCAGCTAGGCTACACAAGCAAGTCCCTCACTTCTTGCTTCAGCCCCCACCTAGAGGGATGGCACGGGTACAGCATCCAGATTACCTGTGTTGAATCCTAAATCCGCTATTTTCTAGCCCAACTACTTTGAGCACCCGGCTCAAGTTTTCCATTTTCCTCTATTAAGTGAGAGAGAAGCTCCAGAAGTTACCAAATGAGTGAGGCTGGGCAATCGACTGCTGTTTTATGCCTCTGTTTTCCTCATCTGTGAGATGAGGATGATGATGATGACCTTGTAGGGCATATGCGAAGATTAACTGAGATAATGCATTGAAACGGTGCCTTGGCAATAGTGTCATAGGAACATTTCGCTTTCCCCCAGGTCCCCAGTTCCAGAATCCAAAAAGCTCTAGAAATCAAGATTGTGTTGGTAACTTGTCTGGCAGCAACTTCTGACCTAAACGGGCTTGATGTTAGTTACATCCTTGGTCTTTATATCACTTAGTGTGAATATTAATGCCTCTGGCTGCAAACACATTTGTGGTGTTTGATGCTGCTCTGATCCCACTGGGTTGATGCATAAAAGATGTCAGCATTGTATCCCTTTCTAAACCTGAACAATTCTGAGTTCCAAAATGCATCCCACTGAAGGGTTTAGGATAAGGGATGCAGACCAGGATTTATGGTTGCTTCCGGGAGGAATGTGTTGGGGCTTTTTCCCTTTCCTTTATGGAGGTGGATCCCTGGGGGGCCTGACTTTGGCTTGCCGCCCTCTCCCATCTTGCCCCAGGTTCAGCCAGCAACAGTCCTTCATGCAGATTCTCCAGGAGGTGAATGACTTTGCGGGCCAGCGGGAGCTGGTGGCCGAGAACCTCAGCGTCCGCGTGTGTCTTGAACTGGCCAAGTACTCACAGGAGATGAAACAGGAGAGAAAGATGGTGAGTGATTTCCCCCTCCCTGGGTCTTCCGAGGGGCGGCTTACTGTGATCCAGGTGAGCCTAACCTCTTCTGTTGGCACAGCACTTTCAGGAAGGCCGTCGGGCCCAGCAGCAGCTGGAAAGTGGCTTCAAACAGCTGGAGAATGTGAGTTTGTGGGTGTGGAGAAGGGTGGCTCTGGCCCTGCGGGTAGCTGGGACAGGGGGTTGCTGATCACAGAGCTGCCCAGGTTGTCTAGCCTGGAGCCTCTTAGTCCTGTCGGTTTCGGCCATGCCCGTTGTCCCCCGTTTGCGGGGTGACTTCCCGCCAATCCCTGAAACCTTGGTGGCTTCTCACGCTACTACCTCCTGGTTCTGCCCCCGACGCAGAGTAAGCGTAAGTTTGAGCGGGACTGTCGAGAGGCTGAAAAGGCAGCCCAGACTGCGGAGCGACTCGATCAGGATATCAATGCCACCAAGGCTGATGTGGAGAAGGTACTTGTGGGGTCTGGGATGGGCTTGGTGGGGGGAGCCGGCGGCAGCGGGGGGGTGCGAAGGGAGTCTGGCTGGGATGCGGCCAGGACCTGGCAGCGACCTCTCCCTCCGTACTCCTCAGGCCAAGCAACAAGCTCACCTTCGAAGCCATATGGCAGAAGAAAGCAAAAATGAGTATGCGGCCCAATTGCAGCGCTTCAACCGTGACCAGGCCCACTTCTATTTTTCCCAGATGCCCCAGATATTCGATGTGAGTGTTCCAAGCCCCCGGCCCCACCCTCCTGAAAAACCCCCAACGCGAACCAGCTCTTA